AAAAAAGTTAGAAAATAAAGGAAAGAAGCGGATAATGAGATTATGTATTTGAGAAGTATATAACCAAAAAATGGTGGAAAAAATAGAGATCCGAAGTCTTAAAACTAATGAAAAGGCTAAAAGGAGTGTATTCAATCTTTAATTTTGAGTGATTTGAATTTAATTGAGTTTTTGGGTGTATTCAATCTATGATTTTGATGATTTTAGGTGGATTTGAGAAAGTTGTTAAGATTTATTGTAAAATCCTCCCAAATCCAATCTAAAACCATGAAATTTAAAATTCAGTATTTTTAACTTAGGAAATCCATTCAAATCAACTCAAATCTCCTAAGGTCATTAAAAATCTAATCCTTAAAATATTATCAATAACATGAGATTTTAAAGTAGATTTTCAAATCACTATTTTAATAACATTGATTTTCATTCGTCTTTTTAAACTCTATGATTGAATAACATTAGATTTGTTATTTTAACACAAATCACTTAAAATGTTTAATTGAATAGACCCCCTAAGCGTTTAGTGAAAGTACTCTTGTTAGAGAATAAGATGTTTTTTAAGAATTTTACCTCCCTGGACTAGGAACCAGATCATTCGTTCGAATCGGGTGAGATCTTATAGTTCGGATTGGTAAGCACCCTATCGATATAGAGCATTTCTGTGTTGGATAGGAAACTTGTAGTAAAATTAAATATGTAAAAAAATGATCATTAAATTCCTCAACTTTTGAAATTTTGCAAAATTATTCCTCAACTTTCACGTTTGCAAATTAATTCCTCAAGTTTGTGTTTACTACGCAAAATTAGGTTAAAGAAAAGTCAACATTAACTTTTACGTTTTCTTATTTAACGTTGACTTTTTAAAGTTTCTATTTGCGTAGTCAACATAAACTTAGGGGATTAATGTGCGCACATAATAAGCACATAATAGTTAAGGAATTAATAAGTCAATTGCAAATACTTGAGGAATTAAATGACTATTTTCCCTTTTAATATATAGAGGATTGCATTCGTAAAAAAAAAATTATTTACAAACATATAGATGCTATATCATACAGAAATTATATATTATATATTGAAAATATAAACTAATACGACTTCACAACTATTCTATATCTTCAGCGTAAAAGAGTAAAATAATGTTGTATTACACATCAAGTGTGCTGGTGAAACATCAATACAACCAAAATAATCTAAAGATAATTTTAATGATCTAACAACACATTCACATAACCAACATCAACTTCAAGTCTAGCATCTGTTATTTCACACCTTGACAAAACACAATTATAAAATAGATAAATTTATATTTCCTATAAGAAATTTTTGAATTTTCTAATAAATTTTGGTAGCTTTTGGATATTACCATTGCCAATGGTAAATTCAAAAATGACAATCTTTCACTACCAACAAGATATGAGACATTTACAAATTTCTTCCCAGCAAAAATGCCAACGTTAATATGATGTCATCAAACACAGGTAATATAGTTTATGTACACTAAATATTTGCAATATTGATAAATTTACTTACATTTTAGGTTAACTAACATTCGACTCAATAAGCATAATTTCATTAACGATATCTAAATTCTTCGTTAAATATTTAATATTCATATAAAACACGAAAAAGACAGTTGTATTTCATTTTTATATCTATTTTATTAGTTGGCTCCAGAATTATCTCGCCAGAACTTTCACTCGCTCCTTCTCTGGTCTTGAGATGACACTCTCAGAGAATTATACTCGCATCACATTTCATGGGACAAACCCAAAGACAATTCATATATTCGGAAATTGTATCCTCAATTGTGACTCTAAGGAAATGAGATGTTTAGGCAATGAAGAATAAAAATAGACAGCGGAAGGAAATTCACTGCCTAATTACAGAGACAGCAGAAGGAGATGCTTTACTTCATCTTCCGGTTGCTCTGGTGCTTCTACATCTATTATCCAGAAGTAATATAGTGATTCTTTGTAGGTAGTTATGGGAATGAGCTATTACAGAATTTTAGACTCTCTGACTAATCTTTGATGTGTATTTTTGATGATATGTTTATAAGAGTTTCACCTGTTTTGTCAGCAAGACCGTGTTCTCACAGTCCGCGAAACCGCAAGACTATAAGGATTTCCTGATTTCTATAAGCTATTTGGCCCCATTACGCAAAAGTGAGTGCTCTTCTTCCTTTCTTGTTACAGTAATATGTTCTTAAATTGCATAATGTTGTAAATCATATATCAAACCATAAAAAACAAGAAAAAACAAAAACCATTATTATATTAATGGTATACAGAAATTGTGGTAAATCATCAAACCATAAAAAACCAAAAAGCATAATGTTGTAAATCATATATCAAACCATAAAAACCAAAAAACAAAAACCATTTTATTATATTAATGGTATACAAAAATTGTGGTAAATCATCAAACCAAAAATCCAAAACCAGATTCACTTCCTAAATAACATAGGGGATGATTAAAAAAAGAAAGAAGTTAATGATGATGTACTTGTAGAATAGTTACAGTAATGTTGATATGGAATTACCACATTAGCATCACCAGTCACTTCCTGAATAACATAGGGTATAATTAAAAAAAAAAAAAAAAGTTAATGATGATTTGAGTCATACTTGTAGAATAGTTACAGTAATGTTGATATAGCATTAGCATTAATATGATCTATACGACATCAACCTCTATAAATAGTTACAGTAATGTTGATATGGCATTAGCATCACCCTTGTCTTCTGCACTCTTCACGTTTCTTCTCTTCTCCTCTCTTCTCCTCTCTTCAATGGATTATGCTATTTTTACACTAAAATAACTAGATTTTAACCCGCGGTACACCGCGGGATGATTTAATTTTAAAGTTAGTATAAAAATATTTTGTAAATTGTATCTCCTTATAACATATTTATTTATATTATAGTTTACAATTGTTATTAAGTAACGGTATACCACGAGTCCACGAGATAATTATTAATAAACTGAGGATTTAACCCGTATTAAAGCGGTATATAAATATTGATTCAAATTCGTCCGCCATATAAATCATTTCCGAAATATAACCCGTTCCATAATTTCTTAACCCGTCCTGTGATTTGTATTAAAAAAAATAAGGATTAAATCCGTATTGAAGCGACAGATTAATGATATTTTAATCTTTTTATTATTGTTGATTCAAAAACCCGTCCCGCCAAACCCATCCCACCAAAAAACTCATTTATTTTATTAATGTTCTTATTTATGATATGATTCTGAATCATTGTCTAAATATTTTAATCGATGTAGAACGTTGAACACACATTTTCGTCAATTGGATAATATATGTCCGTTTTTAAAATTTCGAATCACAGTTTATGCAGAAAAATAATTGATTTTTTTTTTTACTTTATGTATTATATGATGATTCAAAACAGTTAAAAACAAATCAAACAAAAATGATAGGAGAATCATAATTATAAATCTTAATCAAATCTTCTAAAAATCTAAATTATTAAATATGGAATATCCGGTGTATGAGTTGGGTTAAATATAACCCGACCCAACAAATTTTTTATGAAGGAATTTTTAAAATGGGTCGGATATCCGATATACCCGAAAGCTTTTTTACCCACCCGTCACAAAAAGTGCTGCGATTATACTAGTATAGATGTTACACTAATATCAGTGTAATGATTAAACATTAAGGGGGGTGTATTGGAAGTAGGATTTTAAATTTTTTTGGGTTTTATTAAAATCACCTGTTATTGAATTTGGAATTTTCAAATCTCTTCTCAAATCCAATGTTATTCAAAAAACCATTTCTAAAGTTGATATCAAATGATCTGTTATTCAAAACACAACTTTTTTTAAAAAAAAAACCATGACATTGATTTTAGGAGACTTTGGATACAATTTTACATGAGAAATCCAATTGAAAAAATCACACCTTCGGAGGTGTTATTTGAAGAATTTCCTTTTAAAAAGAGAAATTGTCCTTTAACAACAACAAGACAGTCCCTTTCTCTTCCTTCTCGGTTCTGACATCGCTTGGAGATTTTCGTTCGTGTCTCTCTTTTTGTTCATCGTTTTCAATCTGGGTAGTCTTCAAATCTGTTAATTCAGTTAAATTTCCCAACCCAAAATTATGGATTTCAATTTTCCTCATGATTTACGGTGGTCGACGACCATAAGTCTGGTCTGATTCCGTACACAATTCATGCTTTACCAGGATCTTCTAATCTGATAATCCTTGATTCTTCCGGCAGTAAATTCTACACTACTTCCTTTCCTTTATCCGGTGGTAAATACAAAAGTCACTCTTTTGTATCATCTATGGATCGAATCATTATATTGTTTTTGTATATGAGTAGTGAAATCGTGGATGCGTAAAAATGTTATGGGCTAGTCTTTTTGGAAGAATAATAAATATATTATGATGGGCTTTCACGTTTAGCTTTTCATTAGGGTTACTTTGCAAAATCACAACCACACCACACCATGATTTCTCTATTTTTATACTATAGATGAGTTTGAACATGTTTTCAAACGTATTGCATAGAGAATCCAGTTTTTCTATTTTTTTTTGTAAAACAACGTTGCAAAGAGAATCCAGATTTTGTGTAAATCAATGTCGCATCGTTCTGTTTTGTAGATCCAATTTTTCTATTTTTGTTTTAAAATCTCACCAAATCTCATCAAATAAATCTCACCAAATCATCCAATATTTTACAATTCTACCAATCAACTCACTTAACTTTCTCAATATATCCAAAATTTCCTAAATTCCACTAAATCCTCCCAAATCTTTAATTCAATACACCCACCTAATATAACATAAACAATCCAAAATATAGTTTTCTTATTCAATAACACATTCACATAACCAATATCAACTCTAAGTCTTTTATATAGTTATCCTTTCACACTTTAGCAAAATAATTATATAATAGAAAATTTATAGTTACTATATCAATGTTTTTTTTTGAAATTTTAAATAAATGTTGGTAGCTTTAGATATCTATACTATTAATTGGGAAGGATTACATAAAAAATAACCTTACAATGTGTACAAAATTACAAGAGAATGCCATTGGAAAAATTACATTCAAAGAGTAAATGAAAATAATTGTTTAAGGGTAAAAGTATAATTACAACTTAAAAAAAACGCGGATCATGGGCTACTGGATCGGATAAAGACGCAGATCCTGGACTTCTCTGGTGGGTCGACGCGCGGATCATGGGCTCGACCCGGACGAAACAGAATTTGGCAATTTCATTACTTGACATCGATCCACGGCTTAATCTTGAAGCCCGTTGAGATTTGGTAATCTGAACAAATCACCAGAAACCATAAATGACATTTACGAATTTAAAGGTATTACCAAAACAAACATATCCCTTTAATTCCGAATTGTAAATAAGGATATATTGTAAATGTAACAATAATTAGTTTTAAGAATATCCAAATTTGAAGATTGTTTTCAATATGATTCGAATTCAGTTACCAAAATATGCAAATAAAACAATAACTATATATTGATTATCTCTAAAATCAAGTATATACCTTAAATCTTTATTCAAAAACTTGATTCGTACATATATTCGAATCGATCTAAAAGAGTTAACCCTAGCCGACCTCTGTTTCCTATAAATATAGAATGTATGATTCCATTTCCAAGCCTCATTAAGCTTTCAAACGACCTCTCTACTTTTTTTCTACTACAAAAAAAAAGGTTGACCTCTCCGTACAAGATATTTTAGTGTTTTTCAAGAGATTTTGGTGTAACAGGTAGCAAAACAATTTTTCTCTGTAAGGTTTTGACTTTTATCTACTTATGCTATACTACGATACAATTCTTTTTGTTTATGTGTTTACAGTTAAAAGTTGGTGTCTACCGTGCATTAAGCAAGAGTTGGTGTTACAGAATGAGTAATGAAGAGAAGAAATGATGTTGCAGCCAAATCGCCCGTGTTATTTTCATGATTTGTTTTTCCAGACTCTCTGACATTATTTTCAAAACAGCTTAATTTTGTTTTTCAAAAGTTTTCTGTCTAACTAACGTCAGATTAAGTATTATGAAGTTAACAATTCCATATATACAAGCAGTATGGGTTATTACTGCTTATCAAACAATAAGAAAAATTATAGTGTATGGAAGCAAGCAATTGGAAAGAGCATAAGAATATGTATATATTCTTAGCAACTAAACAAAAGTGTTATACTTAATATCTGACTAACCTTTTACGTTTAGAATTCTGCAAATCTCCACAAATGATGGGCAAATGATGGTTGGCCTGCAGATATTGAACTTATAATCATCAGGGTTACTTAGAAATAACTGACGTTGTCTAATTTAGGTGAAGAAAACTTCTTCAAGTCAAAGGGATTTTTACATTTAGAATTCTGAAAATCTCCAAAGTGAACATCTAAGCTACCTCCTCCATAAGAATTATTTTCTCTTCTTTTGGCAACATCATTATGTTTGTAATACTCTGAAATTTAAATGGAAACAAATCTAATTGGATCTATTTCCAGGTCTCAAAATATACTGTGTCTACATAGTTAGAAGCCCTCAATCGTGTTTCAACTAGATGATTTTCAAGAAATCCTATCTCGGTACAATGAAAGTTTTAGCCGGATAATGGATTTTTTAGCTAAAGTGTTCAAAGAAAACGAAATCAATTGGTATCATTTGATCTAAAATTATATATAGATTTCAAAATAATGACCTATAGAAGATCCTGGTTTTTAACAATCCTTGGCGAAGATTTATATTAAAACAACATATTTCAAAGATTAGAAATTGAATCGACAGATTTGAAAACAGTAAAAACCTAATCTAATGCAATAAAAGTCTTACCTCTTTATAGAACTAACACTACATTATAGACAAAGTATAAACAGAGATGAAATAGGTAGATTCCCTGTGAATTTCGCTGCAGATTCGTCGATCGATCGATGTTCGACAATTTGTGTTCGTTGGTTTTTTTCTTTTTAAGATGTGTGTTCTACTTCTAACAATAATTATCTGTAAAAAAAAAATCATTAATATATTAAATACAAAACAACAAATCTCTATACTATTAAAAGAGAAGTACAAATGAAAATGGGTCGGGTTAAAATCAGAAAATTGACCCGAAATTCTGAAATCGGATCTTTGAAATTTTTTTGAAATATAAATTCAAATTAATAATGAAAAATCGAATTAAAATCAAATATTTATGGAAATCAAATAAAATCTGATTGTACTTATGGTAACTAATAATAAAAGCATATTCCGAACAATATTATACATTAATTACGTATAATAAATTTGTTCATATATTTTTGGGACTAATTCCATAACAATCAACGTTTTTGTCATTAATTTCGCTCATTTTAGCCAATTATCATTAATTGAAAGATATTTTACTTGCTTCTAAAGATTTCTAGAAAATTTATCACAAATAACCCATCTGTTTTATAAATTAAATTGATATTTTTATTTTGGTCGTGTAAATTAAATAGATATTTTTATTTTGGTCGTGTAAATTAAATAAATACGAAATCCATGTAACTAATTTTAATTTAATTAGATTAAATCGAAATTATGATATTTTCATACCTATAGCTTACCAAAAAAGTTTAATTTTCAATTTATAAAGATTTCTTGAATATAATTTTAGAATTATTCAACAAGATAATAAGTATTTATTAAATTTTGTGAATCATGAAAAATAATAATTAATTTTCAATCATTATACTTCATCTTTCAATCTCTCATCTAACAAATAAGATACATATTCTATTATTCCTATGTCCAAACTTCATTTTGTTGTATGACTAAATAATATTCCAATTAAAACTGTCAAAACGAGTTGATTCGTCCCGCTAAGTCCGTTTTGCGATAGACAAAAAATATTTTGACTTGTAGTTAGTCGGTCCACACGACCCGCGGGTAGCATATATGAAATACAAACCCGTCCCGCGAATGTATGCGGATTTGCGGGATTGTCCATGGATTTTGTTTAAATAATTTTAAAGTAACCAAAATTTAAAATACTACTAAAATAAATAAATAAATAAAAATACTATTAAAAGTTTGTTTAAATTACCACATGTTGAATAAATTATAATTTTATCAATAAATACTAATATGCGGGCTGATCCGCCAACCCGCGGATGAAAACCGATTAAACCTATGACCCACTGCGAATTAATCCATGTGGTCCACTTATTTGCGGGTTTAATATATTTTCCCAAATCTGCCCTATAGTGAGATGATGTGGGCTCGACCCGCGGTTTTTGACCTATTTTGACTGCTCTAATTCCCATGAATCGTCTAATTTTAGAATTTTAAAACACAAAATTCTATTTTGTAAATCATAATTAATACGATGGGTATATTTATAAACAATTTTTCATTTTCTCTACAATTCGTTATTAGGAATATTTATAAGTATACTACACGATTCGTTCTACTAAAAAACACACACAATATTAAACGCAACGTATGTAAACCAATATTCTCCCGCGGTGGACCGCGGGTCCGATCCTAGTCAATTACAAAATGTTAGTCGGCCCAATATTTATATGTTTAGCGGCCCACAACAAAATAATACGGTTTGCGTAACGGACCACTTAATTAAACACTGGATAGAGATGTTTTCTAAATATGTAAAAAATTTAATTTATAAATAACAATTAAATTAATTTTAAACATTTTTTAAAATTACATACATTTTACAAATTTTACATTTCTATTCTAAATATTTAACAATTAATTATGCATATTGTATGTAATTATTATTTGTTATGCACGAAAACCAAACTGTTTATTTAAATGTATAATGTTACATCTTTAATAAGTATATACTTTTTATTCATAATGTATAATTAATCAAAAAAAAATCAATATGTGTAACAATGTTTATGATGTTCACATAAGAAAAAGTGTAATTTCAAAAATTTGTTACTATTATTATATCAATAATATTATATAAGTCACTTACACAAACAAACACAAAAAAGAAAACAAAAATTAAATTTAAACTTTATATGAACCCTATTTTCGTACATAACTCCCGCACGTATGTACGGGTCAGGATCTAGTTATCATTGTAAATGTTATAACCAAAAATGACAGTTTTTCAATACCAAAAGAGACATGAGACTTGTACAAATTGTTATTCCAATAAAAAAAATATCATCATTAATATGCTCTCATTAAATATATGTTGATATATTACTTACATCTTAGGTTAACCAAATATTTGAGTAAATAAACACAACGCAAAATTTACTTACATCTTAGTTGACCAAATTATGTGTCTGCATTAATGATATATAAATTCTTTATTATATATATAAATAATTAATTAATGCATGTGATTAAATGACTATTGATAAGAAAACAATAAACTAAACAAAATTACGATATTACATATTTGTTATCTTCATCCATGAATCTAGCTATCCAACCTTAGTTTGGTTTATTATATCAAATATTTCATATGTATTCGATTTGACAACATTTTTTTGCTTCTTCGCATCATTTCACCAATATCTAATAACCAACAATAACTTTTAATTTTTACATTTGTTTTATTCAATACCAAAAGAGACATGAGACTTGTACAAATTGTTATTCCAATAAAAAAAATATCATCATTAATATGCTCTCATTAAATATATGTTGATATATTACTTACATCTTAGGTTAACCAAATATTTGAGTAAATAAACACAACGCAAAATTTACTTACATCTTAGGTTGACCAAATTATATGTCTGCATTAATGATATATAAATTCTTTATTATATATATAAATAATTAATTAATGCATGTGATTAAATGACTATTGATAAGAAAACAATAAACTAAACAAAATTACGATATTACATATTTGTTATCTTCATCCATGAATCTAGCTATTCAACCTTAGTTTGGTTTATTATATCAAACATTTCATATGTATTCGATTTGACAACATTTTTTTGCTTCTTCGCATCATTTCACCAATATCTAATAACCAACAATAACTTTTAATTTTTACATTTGTTTTATTCATTTTTCTTTCGCTATGTATTTTTTTTGTTTTGATGATGTTACAGTTAAACTAAAAATCATAAACGTTTTTGTAATAAAAGTTATCTTTATGTCTTTAATAGTTGTTTGAAGAAAAAAAAATTATTTTACATAAATTCGTAATAAATGGCTTATATTACAAACAATTGTATATATTAATTTTCAAATTGAAAATACCATATGCAAATCAGAATTAGAATACACAGAAAAACCGAGGTCAAATATTTTTTTATTGCTAGCTACTTGTAAATTGTTAAATTTTCTGCATAGTAACGCTAATATAGTTTTCATTTAAAAATTTTCTAAACTAAGTCTCCTAAATCCATTGTTAAGATTGTTCCCAAATTATGTGATAGCAAATCAAAATATTTTTCGTTAACATTTTAATGCGTAGACAATTTTAATTATTTTAAATATTGGTGTGTTCCCTTCAACCTTTTTTCCATTACTTTTTCTGTTTATTTGGTATTATATCTTTAATTGAACAACTTGCAACAAAACAATATCTCATTATAAACCTTAATAAAGAAAAATAACTAAAAATATATCTGAAAGAAAAAATCAAACTAAAATTAATATACTACCGTGAGATGTAGATATGAAAACAACCCGACAAGATAAATTTGAAACTTTCTTATGACTTCAATATAGATAAAAAAAAACATGTCTTTCACCACAAAATAATATATGAAACATGTAATAACTACAAAATAGACAAGAAAAAATTATTATTATTATTATTTTTTTTTGAATACCAGGAGGTTCTGGGCCAAAGCCCATAATCCCCCATGCCCGAAACCACAACATGTAATATTAGTTTCGTCCCAAGCGTTACTCGAACCGGCGACTTCTATGCTTCTCCTAGGATCTTTACCAGTTGAGGTAACGACACTTGGTCAAGAAAAAATTATTACTTATTGAACTAAGAGAAAACATATCCAAATTTCAATATTTTAATCTATTTTAAATCTCAAGTCTTGATAGAAAATAATTTATTAATTATAACAAATGTTTTTTTCTATATTGAAAAATTAGAAAGCTTAAACTATGTTGCATGACATGTGTTAAAAGAATATATACGTTAATAAAAATGAGATTTTGAGACGTTTATAAACGTAAAATTAAAATTTTTTGTGAGCAGATAAATTTTGAAAATATTTTAGTAGATTGATCCAATTATATTTTCTAAAATATCAAGAGAAATTGTTAAAAATGCCCCTTTTCAATACCCCTTTTCAAAAATGCCCCCTTTGAGAGTCCATTTTTACGTTTGCCCTCTTTTAATTTTTAATGACCATTTTACCCTTATTTGAAACAAAATTAGATCCACAAAATACAAAATATTTTTTGGCAGAAAAAGTGATCCCGCAAATTTTTGACGGGAAACGTGATCCCGTAATTTTCCCGCCAAAAATTTTTTTTTCGGGAAAAGTGATTCCGCAATTTTTTGGGCGAAAGTTTTTGGCGGGAAAAATTTACAATGTATTTTACAGGTTTTACAGAGTATTTACAAGTGTTTTGTAAGGTTTTACAATGTATTTTGATAGGTTTTACAAGTTATAAATACCTTATAAAACCTTATAAAAAACTTGTAAAACCGTATAACTTGTAAAACCTTATAAAATAGCTTGTAAAATCTTATAATATCTTATAAATACCTTATAAATACGTTGTAAAACCTTTTAAAATACATTGTAAAACCTTATAAATACCCTGTAAAAAACCTTTAAAATACCTTGTAAATTTTTCCCGCAAAAAATTTAACGCCAAAAAAATTGCGGAATGACTTTTCCCGCAAAAAAAATTTTTTGGCGGGAAAAATTTTTACGGTAAAATTTTACAAGGTATTTTAAAGGTTTTACAAGTTTTTACAAAATCAAATTTGTAATTTTGATGTGTGCACATTCTCATGTTTTCCTTATATATTTGTGATACCTTTTATTAAAAGAAGGGTAATTTAATCATTTTGTACATAAAAAGAGG